CATGGAAAGAGGCGCATGTTACACTTGTGCCGAAAGAAGGTGCCGACCTAAAACAAATCCAAAATTATAGACCAATTTCGCTCCTAAATACTGACTACAAATTATTCATGGGTATAATGGCAGAAAGAATGAAAAAGATTTTAAATAATTGGATATACAAAGACCAGAACGGATTTTTACCGGGGAGACAAATTAGGGATAATTTGAGAATCGTGCTAGATACATTAGAGTATTATGAAGAACACCCCGGAAAACAGATGGCTCTGATCTTTGTCGATGCTCAAAAAGCATTTGACAATCTAAACTGGAAATTTATGATTAAACAAATTGAGATTATGAAATTCGGAACAAATTTTGAAATGATGATTAAATCTATTTATAATAACCAAAAGGCGAGCATCCTGGTGAATGGGGATAGGACCAAAACATTCCAAATTAGTAAGGGAGTAAGGCAAGGTTGTCCCCTATCCCCCTTATTGTTTATTTTGGCCCTAGAAGTTCTTCTCCGGAAAATTAGAACTAACGAGGAAATAAAAGGATTGAAGATTAGGAAGGAGACCTACAAGACGCAAGCATTTGCGGACGACGTAGCTCTAATCCTTGAAGACCCCATAGAATCAGGACCTAAAGTATTAGAGGAATTAAGTAAATATGGAGAGGTGGCAGGCTTTATACTGAACAAAACTAAAACCAAAGTATTGATCAAGAACACAACCGAGAGCCAGAAAAACGAGATAGAAGAAGTATTAGGATTACAGGTTGCCAAAAAAATTAAATACCTAGGAATTTGGATTACATCAAGATGTTCGACCCTGAAAGATGACAATTATATTCCCTTAATTAGAAAAATGAAACAAGACCTAGATAGCTGGAAAAAAATAAGATTATCACTCTTGGGCAAGATAGCCACAATTAAGATGAACATCCTCCCCAGAATATTATTCTTATTCCAAAATATACCGATAAATTTAGATAAAAATTTTTTTTTAGAATTAGACAAAATCATCAGGGAATTTATATGGGAGGGGAAAAAATCGAGATTTTCCATTAAAATTTTAAGGGGCAAAAGAGATATAGGCGGATTTGGACTCCCGGATTGGGAAACATACTACAGGGCAGCTAAGCTAGTTTGGTTAAGAGACTGGATCACCCTGGAAAATGAGAGGATTCTCACTTTAGAAGGCCATGACTTGCAAAAAGGCTGGCATGCCCACATTTGGGACACGGAGAAGAAAAGGAAGACACATTTCCATAGACATAAAATTAGAGACTCCCTGATACAAACATGGACTCAGATTAGGCAGAAATATTACAAAAAAATTCCAAATTGGCTCTCAACGATGGAGGCCCTAACCCACCCAAATAGGTGGGAGAGGGAGAAAATGGGCAGATACAAAGATATTTTGGACGAAGGAGGGAGGCTTAAGCCAAATGACACCTTACGAGAGCAAGGAATAATTTTAGATTGGTGGACCTACTCACAAGTAAAATCCAGATATCAGAGAGACAAAGAACAATACGGTTTAGAACTTGGACCAAATGGATTGGATAAAGTCCTGATGGGAACAAATAAAAAGATTCTGGCAAAACTATACAATTATCTATTAGGCGACGATAAGTTCGAAGATGTCACAAAGAACCAAATAATTGCATGGGAGAAAAATATAGGACGCGATATAAATTTTGGGGAATGGGAGGAGGCATGGAACAGAAATCTTAAACTCACTAGAGCGGTGGCATATAAGGAAAACCATTACAAAATGTTGCATAGATGGTACCTAGCCCCGGCCAGACTTGCAAAAATATATCCCAATATACATCCCACCTGTTGGAAATGTGGCCATGGTCAAGGCACCTTCTTTCACATGTGGTGGACATGCCCTGAAGCGAAAGGATACTGGAGTAAAATTAGGAGGTGGTTACAAGAAATAATTGACGAAGATATTGAACTAACACCAGAGATTTTCCTCCTGGGAATAATAAAGAAGTCATATAGAAAGGAAATGACACATTTAATGATCCACATAATTACAGCCGCTAGATTGGCATACGCACAGTACTGGAAAGAGAAAACTCAACCACCAGAAGAGCTTACAATTAAGAAAATACTCGAGTGCGCAGAGATGACTAAATTAACTTATGAATTAAATGATGAGAAGTCAGTTTACTATATGGTATGGAAAAGGTGGTACAAGTGGTTGCATGACAAAATGAAAGAAAGATCTAAAGGTGTGTTAAATATTGGTTAAAAGTGAGTTGAAATGTCACCAAGTACTATTGATGTAAATAGTTAAAACACTGCACATCCGATACAAATTGAAAGTGTTATTATACTTATGTGTTTTATGTTTCTGTTTGAATGTTTGTTTTTCCTTTTTCTCTTTTTTTTTTATTTTTTTTTATTTTTTCTGTTTTGTAAAAAACCTCAATAAAGTTTCTATAAAAAAAATAAAATAAATACATTGTAACTGAGAGGTGGAAACTGGACTAGAGAAGGATTTAGACTCCATTTTGTGCCGCTACAGAGAGCTCCCATATGACTGCAGCAAAATGACAATTTTCAAAGGTATTAATTTTGGGTGGGTCAGGGGACTCCTGTAAAAGGCCAAAATGTATTAAGTCTGCACATTGTTTAGCATAACAATTTATCAGTATACTGTAAATCCTCGCCCCAAATAATATTCACTTCTCCTTCCCCATCAGATAGTGCTGCTTCCCTACATTTTCTGCTTCACTAAGAAACCAAAATGCAAACAAAACTCCTCTACTATTCCAACAAATGCAGATTACAAGAAGCTAAAATTAAAAGATAATTCAAACTTTTCTTTAGCACAGTTTATTAAAATGATTGTGTAATGCTTCAAGAATTCACGAAGTGAATTAATGTCCAACTTAGACCCAATATCTCTCAGTGTCTATTAAGGGGGAGAATTTCTGAACCTTTTTCTCACAGCCCTATGGTATAGGTATCTTTACCAATAATGGGGAGGTTTGTTGCAGACTGATCCAAATTCAAGGTTGCTTGAATTTGGATCAGTCTGAGAACTAGCTCTTACACCCTTCCTTGTCTTAACATTGCAAATGTGGTCTCTTATGTTTATAAAGTCCTTGGACAGCAAAGGCGATTAACAAGCAAGTACTGGAGCACATAACACCAGACATGTCATTATAAGGCAAAATCACAAAACTGTGTCTCACTTACTTCACTGGACTTCACTGGAGAAAACAATTATGTTTGGAAGAGTTAGCAGTAAAAGGAAACCAGGCCATCAAAGAACATGGTGGCTGGACACTATCAAAGCTGACACCAGCCATAGCATAGAAAAACATAAAGAAATAGTGCAAGATTGGAAGATGTGGAGAGACCTGGCCCATAGAATTTGGAATTGGAATTTGGAAGAGTTGGGGGTCGGAGGCACCGTGTTGCGGTGGTTCTCCTCCTTTCTCTCCGACCGGTCGCAGTCTGTGTTGGCAGGGGGGCAGAGGTCGACCCCGAGATGCCTCATATGTTGGGTGCCACAAGGGTCGGTCCTCTCGCCCCTTCTGTTCAACATTTATGTAAAGCCGCTGGGTGAGATCATCCGTGGTTTCGGGGTGAAGTACCACCAGTACGCTGACGATACTCAGCTGTACATCTCCACCCCAGACCACCCCAACGATGCCCTTGAAGTGATGTCCCGGTGCCTGGAGGCCGTGCGGGTCTGGATGGGAAGGAACAGGCTCAGGCTCAACCCGTCCAAGACTGAGTGGCTGTGGTTTCCGATGTCCCGATAGTCAGTTGATGCCATCGCTGACTATTGGGGGTGAATTGCTGGCCCCCACGGAGAGGGCTCGCAACTTGGGCGTCCTCCTGGATTCACGGCTGTCTTTAGAAGAACACTTGACAGCCGTGACCGGGAGGATTTTCCATCAGGTCCACCTGATTCGCCAGTTGCGTCCCTTTCTGGATTGGGACTCCTTAAACATGGTCACTTATGCCCTCGTCACTTCCTGCCTGGACTACTGTAACGCTATCTACATGGGGCTCCCCTTGAGGAGCACCCGGAGGCTCCAACTGGCGCAGAGTGCGGCTGCGCGGGTGGTTATGGGAGTGACGTGGCGCTCCCATGTAACACCTCTCCTGCGCAAGCTGCACTGGCTCCCGGTGGTCTTCCAGGTGCGCTTCAAGATTTTGGTTACCACCTTTAAAGTGCTCCATGGCTTAGGGCCTGGTTATTTACGGGACCGCCTCCTGCCGCAAACGGCCTCCCACCGGCTGGTACGCTCTCACAGAGAGGGACTCCTCTGGGTGCCGTCGGCCAAACAATGTTGGCTGGCGGCCCCCAGGGGGAGAGCCTTCTCTGTGGGGGCACGTACTATCTGGAACGAGCTCCCCCCGGAGATACGGAGGATCCCGGATCTATGCACCTTCCACCGCACTCTCAAGACCTTTTTATTTCACCAGGCTGGTCTGGCCTAACTTCTCCCATTCTTTTTTAATGTAAATTTTAATGTAAATTTTAATTTGTTCTTAACCTGGGGTTTTAAATTTGTCTTGGGCTAAATTGATTTAATTCGATTTTACTTCTGCTCTTAAATTTTTGTATTCTATGTGTTTTATCTTGTGCCTGTTCACCACCCTGAGTCCTTCGGGAGTAGGGCGGTATATAAATCAAATAAAATGAAAATGAAATGAAATAAAATAGAATTGTCAAGTCGGACTTGACTGAATGGATAAAATCATCATCATCATCATGTTTACAAAGATACTTAAGTGTGTATGTACATACATATTATATTGTCATTTCCTTAAGTATTACAACCTGTAATTTAACAAATAAAACAGATGTATTAATGGCAAAAATCCTTGCTCATGAAGCACTCTAGAGAATACAAGTTCAACAAAGTGACAATTGATCACTTCTTAAGAATTCTGTCCATGCATTTCAAAAGTAAATATTAAACCTGGAGTACCTGATTATGCATTTCTAAATTAAACATATGCTTGGAAATCAATATACCTGGGTAACTCTTGAGTGGCAATAAAGGCTCAGTAAGATAGCCCACACAAACCATCACAGCATCAAAAATGGTTGAGCTCTGCTTCCCATTGGCCTCTGTAACAACTTCCCACTGGCCAGTGTTAGAAAAATCAGGACACTTCGTTATGCTGATCACTTTTGTCTGAAACATTTCCAGAAAATAATCAGTTGAGATGATCCAAAAAGGACTGAACTTGCAAATACATCTGGCTTTGAGTTCATAGGCATCTTTTTAGATTAGAAATAGATGAATGTACAAATATAAACAAAAGTGAACAAGCAAAATCATATATTTGCTCTGGAAAGTTTATACTTGGAGAGGCAAAATCTGTGTTTGAGTTTCACTGAACCAAAGTCTCTAGAAATAAATGTACTACTTCTTTTTAATGTGAACATTCAGCTAATATTTTTAAAGCTTACCTTTATTTGAATGTATTTCTGGAGATCAAAATATTTTGTGTACATCCTCAGATATTCCAGGAGTTGGTGATGGGACAAGAAGGCTGGAAAGTTTTCTGGATATGGAAAATCTGTGAAGGCAGACATCTCCTTAGAGCTGTTACTGACCATTGACCTGTACATGCTGGGTCTTCCATCTTCAACATAGTCCTATCCATAAAATATTACAAGATTATGTATTAAAAAGCCAGTTTGTTAAGGCATCAGACTAGAAACCAGGAGACCGTGATGCTTGGGCAGGGTTCCAAAAGGAATTTGAAATCTAAGCTTCTTAATTTAAAAAAGGGGTAAAGTGCAATTTTCTTGAGTTTAGACAGATTCAGGTAACACTTTCAGACATATTTGCCATTTAATAGACATAAACTATGCCATTTTCAGATTAAGCACAATACTTGTTATGAAAAGGATATGTGAGGTGATTAAAGAAGGCTAACTGCAATTCTATTACCTGTAGGCAATATCTGTTAAAATACAAAGATTTAGACCCAAAAACCTGGAAGGTGGCAGATAGATCAAATACTTGGAAGCTGAGTACATTCTTTCATGATTTGCCCACTGTGAATAAAATATGGAATTTATTTTGCACAATAAAGGGTATAACCAGTGGTAGGATTCAATTTTTTTAACAACCGGTTCTGTGGGCATGGCTTATTTGGGTGGGTGTGGCTTGGTTGTCATGTGACCAGGTGGGCATGGCTAACTGATCATGTGACTGGGTGGCCGTGGCTATGTGTATAGGGACTACTCAGAGGGCTGAAAAAAGTCATTTCTGACCGGTCCTTGCACTTTTGACTGGTCCTCACACTTATGACCATCCTCACATTTATGCCCGTTGCAGCATTCTTAACAACCATGTCACTCATTTCACAACTGCTTCTCTTCACCATGGTGACAAGATAGGGCAAAAAACTAAAATGTGAGGATAGTCGTAAGTGCGAGGACTGGTCAAAAGTGTGAGGACCAGTCAAAAATAACATTTTCAGCCCTCCGAGTAGTTCATATGCACAAAAGGACTAGCCAGAGGGCTGAAAAAGTGATTTCTGACCCGTCCTCACACTTTTGACCGGTCCTCGCACTTATGACTGGTCATCATTTATGCCCGTTGCAGCATTCTTAACAACCGTGTCACTCATTTCACAACTGCGGTGCTTCATGTGACCGGATGGCCGTGGCCAGGTGGTCATGTGGCATCGCTTCGTTGCCCTAATGACAGTTTGCTGCAATGGTCATAAGTGTGAAAAACGGTCATAAGTCACTTTTTCCAGTGCTATTGTAACTGTTGTAAGTCAAGGATTACCTGTACAAAAATACAAAAAGCTTCTTTGCTTGCAAAAAGCTGCCCTAAATACCAATCATTAGATTAGAAATACCTGCAAACTGGAGTTACAAATTAGGGAGGGTGGCAGAGCACCTTGAGGAATTAAAATAGTTAAAATGCAATGATAACTATCAGCAGCCAACTCTTGCTCATAAAGTGAAACCCTTTAGCAGAAAGATCATTTAAGCTCTCCAGAATGAAGCAAAGGAGCAAACAGAGTATCTGTTGCTTGTTAAACCAATTACCAGAACAAATAAACACAGAGCTAGTCAGATTTCCAAAGCTGCTTCTTTTCAGGAACAGAGATTAACATTTTTCCTTCCAAACAAAGCTGAATAGGGAAAATTATCTCATCACTAAACACAGGATTAAACATCACCAAGCACAGAATTAAACTTCACCAAAAACCTGTTTTAGACCAAAAGTCAGAAAGGGTATGTAAACTCACGTTTGAATGTCAATCTGTTTAAGTCTTGCTGAATGTCACTCATCTTGGTTCTTTGTCATTAAAAGCTTCTGCTTCGTTATTCAATTATTTCTTCAAAGTGCTGATCATTGCACGCTGGCTGGAAGAACTCCAACAGGGGAGTATTTCCTCCCAACAGCGGTGTAAAAAGCTTAAAACAACCCTTCCCCTTTAAGAAAGTCAAGCAAAAAAAAAAAAAAACACCTCTGGAAGCAACAGCAGGCATACTGCTGGAGAGGCAGTTTCTGTAAGCAGGGCAGTAAAGATTAGGCTAGGAAACAACACCAAATGTTGTAATTCCTTACAGGATTAACCCTGTAAAGTGGAAAAAAACAAAAGGAGATTTCTTTTAAGAACCGGTTCTCTGAACTGCTTAACTACTTAACTACTTAACAACCGGTTCTACTGAATCGGTGCGAACTGGTAGAATCCCACCGCTGGGATAACAGTAAAAAGAAACAAATGAAATGATATTGATATTACTGTGTACATGACATAACTCCTCATAAGTTTACGCTTGGAGAACATTGAGGTTAATATGTAGAAAATTATGGGATTTTGCCATTATTTTGCAGTATTATGTTTTTTCCTTATATGAAGTATAACTGTGTGTGTGTGTGTGTGTGTGTGTGTAGGTGTGTATTATACAGTTTGTTCTTTTTTCCATCTACATAGGTGCAGTGGTTAGAATGCAGTACTGCTGGCTACTTCTGCTGACTGCCAGCTGCCAACAGTTCAGCAGTTTCAATTCTCACCAGCTCAGGGCTGACTCAGTCTTCCATCCTTCCAAGGTCAGTAAAAATGAGGACCCAGATTGTTGGGGGCAATATGATAACTCTGTAAACCTCTTAGAGAGGTCTGTAAAGCACCATGAAGTGGTATATAAGTCTAAGTGCTATTGCTATTTAAATAAAGAATTGGGAAAATAGATGTTGTACAATTATTAAATATTTTGAAAATATTTTGAAATTATTGGTAGGGTAAATACTGTATATTGAATACTTTTCATCAGGACCTGCTTTGGGTTTAAAGTTACTTTGCGGTTTAAATAATAAAACTTGTAATAATACACACAGTGTGAACATTCAGTTGTCTCTTTTCATAGTTAAGCATCATAACACATGGGCATGGTAGAGATGAGTCTACACTCTACTGTCATAACTTACTGTGAATCGCCACAATCCCCCTATGTCATCACTTTGCTCAAAACAGGTTGGCTCTAGTCCCTCTTCCAAGCAGCACTTAATGGAGGTCAGTCCACTCACACCGGCTCCAACAATGGCTACCTTTTTCACCATGATTTCTTGCAGTAAGAAGAGCAGAAATATATGGGGTTACTATTTTAAAAAAATGAAAGTAGCTTCCTGTTTCAACTTGTCATGACAGCTGGTTGGACCTTTCTTAAAAATTGTGTTTAACTTATACTTTCAAGTCTGAATTCTGAAATTTGCTTTTCTTACACAGAAAGTTTCATTCAAGGTACTTTTATTTCCCAATTTACGTTTATAGCTTCCTTTCAGTAGAATACCTCTGTCTGTTTCAAATATCCTCTGGGTAGAATAAAGAATAGCACAGTTGGAAAGGATCTTGGAGGTCTTTTAATCTACCCCTCCTACTCAAGCAGAGATTCCATAGTATTTCAGACAAATGGTTGCCCAGTTTCTTGTTAAAAACCTCCAGTGGTTGAGTATCTACAACTTCTGAAGACAAGCCATTCTACTGATTAATTGTTGTCATTGACTGGTAATTTCTCCTTATTCTAAGTTGGATCTCTCTTTTTTAAGCTTCCATCCTTTACTTCTTTTCCTGCCCTCAGGTGCTTTTGAGAATAGGTTCATCCCCTCCTCTTTGTGACAGCTCCTCAAATACTGGAACACTGCTATCATGTCATCCATAGTTCTTCATTAAACTAGACAATCCCAGTTTCTGCAACTGTTCAGCCTCCAGTCGCCTAATTATCTTTGTTGCTCTTTCTGTGCTCTTTCTAGAATCTCAACATCTTTTCTGCATTATGGTGACCAAAACTGGATGCAGTATTCCAAGTGTGACCTTATCAGTGCAGTATAAAACAGTGCTAACACTTCACATGATATTAATACTATCCCTCTTTGATGCTTCCTTTCAGTAGAATACCTCTGTCTGTTTCAAATATCCTCTGGGTAGAATAAAGAATAGCACAGTTGGAAAGGATCTTGGAGGTCTTTTAATCTACCCCTCCTACTCAAGCAGAGATTCCATAGTATTTCAGACAAATGGTTGCCCAGTTTCTTGTTAAAAACCTCCAGTGGTTGAGTATCTACAACTTCTGAAGACAAGCCATTCTACTGATTAATTGTTCTCATTGACTGGTAATTTCTCCTTATTCTAAGTTGGATCTCTCTTTTTTAAGCTTCCATCCTTTACTTCTTTTCCTGCCCTCAGGTGCTTTTGAGAATAGGTTCATCCCCTCCTCTTTGTGACAGCTCCTCAAATACTGGAACACTGCTATCATGTCATCCATAGTTCTTCATTAAACTAGACAATCCCAGTTTCTGCAACTGTTCAGCCTCCAGTCGCCTAATTATCTTTGTTGTTCTTTCTGTGCTCTTTCTAGAATCTCAACATCTTTTCTGCATTATGGTGACCAAAACTGGATGCAGTATTCCAAGTGTGACCTTATCAGTGCAGTATAAAACAGTGCTAACACTTCACATGATATTAATACTATCCCTCTTTGATGCAGCGTAAGACTGTATTGGCCTTTTTGGCAACTGCAGCATACTGCTGGGTCACATTGTTGTCTATTAGAATACCCAGATTCCTCTTTCAGTTATTGCTGTTGAACCAGGTACTGCCTATTCTATACCTAAGCATTTGGTTTTTCTTGCCTGTGAAAAAACTTATTTTTCTCACCACTGAACTGCATTTTGTTGAATGTTCAAGTCTATCAAGATCCTTTTGGATCTTGAGCCTATCTTCTAGAGCAGGGGTGTCAAACTGGCGGCCCACAGCCTGCATGCATCATGCGCAGGCCATGCCCATCCCAGCTCCACAAAGGGGAAAAACATCACAAAATGTCACATGACAGCAACGTGACACCACAAGTTTAACATCCGTGTTCTAGAGGGTTGGCTATTCCCCCCAGTATCTCTAAGCTTGATATCACTATGTAGGTTATAAAAAGGGTGCATAATTGAAAAGAGGTTTGCAGAAGGTTACATTTCATCAATAGATTGTTGATCAATTTCACATGGCCTGTTAATAGATGATCATTTACTAGAATTCTTGCAAAAAAAAAAAATGCGGAACAGGATAAATGCTTTTATCATGGTTGCTCTGCAGACCCATGCCCAAGCTTGGTACATGATCTTGTGAGACAAACTGTGGTGAATCACCCATACGATATAGTAGTATATGTATTCTGGTTGTTTATTCTTATTTCTAACAATGCAGACATTCAGATATTATGATTAATTGTATTGATTATTCATATTTTGATTACCTCTAGTATAACTTAAATGCAGTACAGTCATTTTTGAGCATAAATGGAATATAAGTAGGAAAATTTATAGGAGGCAGAAGAACAGGTAAAAGTCACAGGTCATGAAAATATAAATAAAGGAATTGTGCGGATAAATAGAATTAACTGAAAAGCTGAAATTAGAACTGACCAGGAGACTCTAGTCTGAAAGGAAGCGATAACTAGATATAAGCAGCAATTGTATGATTCCCAGGGAGAGTCAATCTAACCAACATTAGCAAACATTTTTGAGGCAGCAGGTGCATCCTCAAAGGCCTGGCTTGGGGAAAGACACCATATTACCAAGCAAAGCTTCCTTTGTTGCATGATTGTGTGTATCTGAAGGAACATTGCTCATACATGGATCTTTTTAATACAGCTAGGTGATGGTCTCAGCTTGGGCTATTCAATCTCTCTGCATATCTATCTTGCAGAGCAGGACTATCATCCAGATTTGTATAGGATCCAGATTTGTATAGGATACATATAAACAGAATAGTGTCTTAGTTTGTGCATAAGAATTCTTTGAACAATGGAAGCTTTGATACACCCAAATGTTTTTAATGTTGGAAATATTGTTAGATATAAGGACTTACTAACAGATAAAGGGGATTTGAAAGGGAAATGAGAGTTGGAAGAACAGGGGATTGAGATGGATTGGTATATGTAGATGCAGATGCAAACAAGATATGAAAAAGATGCTAAATTTATGGTTTTCACTTAGAAAAAACAGAGTTGGATGGGATACTTATGGGAACAGTGGATAAATTAATTTTAAAAATCTATATTTTTTTACTAGGCATTCAACTGGAGGAGGAGCAAGTAAAGAAAACAATGATAGCCTGGGCAAAGAATTTTGGACATTCAATAGATCTAGATAAATGGCAACAGTTATGGGAAAGGAATTATAAATTAACAATGTCCGCTGCATATAAGGAAAATCAATATAAAATGTTTTATAGATGGCATATGCCACCTGAGAAACTGGCAAAAATGTTTAAAGATAAATCAGCTAAATATTGGAAATGTCACCAGTTACCAGATTCTTATTACCATATGTGGTGGATATGTCCAGAAGCAAAAAATTATTGGAATACAATTAAGATATGGCTGGAAGAAATGATACAACAACGTATTGATTTAAAACCAGAACTGTTTCTGTTGGGTATCCTGCCAGAAAAAATTAGCAAAGAAAATATTTATTTGATTATACATGTAATAACGGCTGCAAGGATTGTTTATCCACAAATCTGGAAAGCAGAGAAAATACCTTTGGAAGGAAAAGTAATTAAACAAAATTTAGATTGTGCAGAAATGAATAGATTGACTTTGATGATTAAAGAAAGAGGAGATTCAGAATACTTTAAGATATGGAATCAATTTTATTATTGGTTAGAAAAGAGATACAAATAAGTAAATTAATAGTTATGTATAAAAATGCCATAATCAGAATATTTTGTTAGTGATGAATTGTTGTGATTGATTCGATGAGAACTAAGACAGAAGAAATAATAAAAGGAAGAACAATTGGAGACAACACCAAGATGTCACACGGAAGGAATGACTGATGTATTAAATGTTTGTTTGTTTAAAAAATTAAAAAAGTTTTTTAAAAAAGAATTTCTGCACAACAGTGCATATTATTGGAGAGATGTCAATAGTCATATATCTTGGCAAATTTTATACTAAGTCCCAAGTTTCTTGGAAATGGAAGTGAGAAGTGATTTAACTTATTACACTCACAGAATATCAAAATGTTCTAATGATTTTATTTGGGTTAGATTACAGTGTTACAGGATATGATAAATTAGTATATAGCAAATGATTATGTACTGTATGGCTAACAGGGTGAAAACACAGATTCATATCTGTGCCAATAGGAAGATTGAAATTAGTCAGATTAAGGTATTCAGGCTTTGTGAGTTAGAAAAAACAATGCAGAAGATGAGATATATAGAAAAAGAAAAAAGGAGGAATTTTCTAGTAGTTTGTCCCAAGAATAAATGTTATGTTATCTTTAATAACCTTTCAAAAAGAAAGTTACCCGAGATACAAAAGTAGTCATCAATATAAGTATCCAAAATTGTAAAGGCATTGATACTATCCTCCTAATGCCCAGGGTGATTTACTTCATGCCTTTAAAGTTTGACAGAGTAATATTGAGGGCTCCAGAATCTCTCTATGCTTTCACATAATCAGGTTTGATTAGTGTGGAAATACTTATAACTTAACAGTCTAAAATATCTTAATTAGCCATTAAGTATTTATTGAAGACTAAAAACTCTGTTTTTTATGTAAGTATAAAGGAGGGCACAAAAGTATTGGGTGAATGATGAATCTATATGTGAGTAACTGTGACACTAACTGTGAGACAGATCTTAAAGTCTTAGTGGACAATCAATTAAATATGAGCCAGCAGTGTGCAGTGGCAGCCCAAAAAGCCAATGTAATCCTAAATTGCATTAACAGAGGGATTGAATCAAGATTACATGAGGTACTAATACCACTCTATAAAGCCTTAGTAAGACCACACCTAGAATACTGCATCCAGTTTTGGTCACCACACTATAAAAAAGATTTTGATTCTCTAGAATGAATGCAGAGAACAAGGATGATTAGGGGACTGGAGGCTAAAACATATGAAGAATGGTTGTAGAAACTGGGTATGGCCAGTCTAGTGAAGAGAAAGACCAGGGATGACATGATAGCAGTGTTCTAATATTTGAGGGGCTGCCACAGAGAAGAAGGGGGTCAAGCTATTTTCCAAAGTACCTGAAGGCCAGATAAGGAATAATGGATGGAAACTGATCAAGGAGAGATTCAACCTGGAAATAAGGAGAAATTTTCTGACAGTGAGAGCAATCAATCAATGGAACAGCTTGCCTCCAGAAGTTGTGGGTGCTTCACAGTGGTGGACTTCAAATAATTTAATAACCAGTTCTCTGCCCTAATGACCGGCTGGGTAGGTGTGGTTGGGGGGTATGTGACCGAGTGGGTGTGGCCAACTTGATGTCACTCATATCGAGGGGCACTTAGCCTCGCCTGGCCTCTTGTGACCATGGGGATGCTGCAACAGTTGTAAGTGTGAAAAACAGTCATAAGTCACTTTTTTCAGTGCCATTGTAACTTTGAATGGTCACTAAATGAACTGTTGTAAGTCAAGGATTACCTGTACAAAAATACAAAAAGCTTTGCTTGCAAAAAGCTGCCCTAAATACAAATCATTAGATTAGAAATAGCAGAATACACACTGAAGATCAATGAGTCACAGCTGTCATGGAAAGATATACTATTCTGTCTGAATACGTTCCTTTTCCTCAGCAATACCTGCAACCCAGAGTTACAAATCAGGCAGTGTGCCAGAGCACATTGAGGAATTAAAATAGTTAAAATACAGCCAACTCTTGCTCATAAAGTGAAACCCTTTAGCAGAGAGGTCATTTAAGCTATCCAGAAAGTGGGTGAGATATTTGGGCTACCAAATGCCTAGCTAAAGAGACAAATTAACAAATTAACATCTTGAGTGAGGGCTAATCCCATTCTGTCTTTGTTCAGACCTTGCTGCAGGGAATTTTTGCCCATGAATATAGCTATCTATCTCTTTATCTCTTAAATGCTGACATCTGCTGTGGATTATTAAGGAAGGTGGGGGCTGCTTTCTCCCTCTAAGAAAACATGTTTCTCCATTTCTCATCCAGGGAAATATATTCTTCCTTTTTAATATCTCTCAAAATATTTCATTCTTCTAGGAGAAGGGTAGGTGCTAACTTTATACAAACATGGTGTCATGTTACTATACCATAATATTATGAGAGCAAACTATAACAAATTGGAAGGAGGATCCACTTATTATCAGTGAACAATCATGTAGCTTGGCCACTCTGAAGCAATGCAAGAGACTCCTGTCCTAAAGGTGCTTTTTCAAGAGGCAACTGGACTTTCTGGAAACCAAGAAAGTCCAGTTGCCTCTTGAAAAAAACACCTTTGGGACAACCATGACCTGGGCGATTGAAGAATACTCATAGACAAGTGATTCTTGTGCTCAGTGAACTAACAAAGCACCTAGGAGAAGCAATCATTAGATCTATTTGCAGTACTTAAATATACCAGCTGGTCTTATTCATTTCACAAGATATCCTAAGGTAATCATCCAGATTTAAGGAAAATCACATGCCCTCAGAAAGGCAGTAAAAAAATTAGACAGAATGCCAAGCTTGCATCCTGCCTCTCAGCCATTTCTTCTATGGCTATGCCAACCGTTCTGTAAATAGCTGTTCAAGCCCCAGGAATAAAAATACCACAAAAAACTCAAGGGTGGGTGGGGACGACTCCAGAGAAACTCAGCTACAGACAGAAAGTCTGGGCATACTGCCAAGAACTGTTAAGGCTGTTACAATGTAACAAAGCTTAACCCCAGAGGCAGTTTCTGAAAACACTTAAAGCACCAAGAGTGGCAATTAAGATAAGGATTAGGCTAGAAATACAGGCACACTAGAATCTTTCCTTCCTGCGTTCCTTGCAGGATTAGCCCTGTAAAGTGGGAAAATATTTCTTCCAACAACTGGTTCTCTGAACTGCTCAGAAAATTAACACACTGTTTGGGAGAACCAGTGCAAACTGGCAGGAGCCCACCACTGATGCTTCATCTCTGGAAGCTTTCAAGAAGAGACTGGACAGCCACCTGTCAGAAATGGTATAGGGCAGTGATGGCTAACCTTTTTGCCATTGCGTGCCAGGAGAGGGGGGCGGGGGAGGGTCATGCATGCACATGCCCATGCACATGCGCGTGCAATCCCCCCCCTGCTCCTGGCACATGATGGCCTGATAGGCCCGTTTTTCTTTCTTACTTGGTTCAAGATCCTCTCTATTTATCTGGGAAGAGCGAAAACAGCCTTTCTCACTCTCTCGGAGGCCCTCCAAAGACCTGAAACAGCCCATTTCCCAACTCCCAGTGGGACAGGAAGTGACATTTTTTGCTGTCCCCAGCCTCCAGAGCCTCTCTAGGAGTCTCTAGGAGCCTCTCTAGGAGTCTCTGGAGGCTGGGGACAGCAAGAAAGTCACTTCCTGTCCCACCGGGAGTCGGGAAATGGGCCCTTTCAGCCTCCATAGGGTCTCCAAGGGAGTGGGAAAGGCTGTTTTTGCCCTTCCCAGATAAATAGAGAGGATCTGGAGCCAGGTAAGAAAGAAAAATGGGCCTCCCCCCCCCCCAGGCCCTCCAGAGGCAGGAAACAGCCTGTTTCCCTACTTCTGGTGGGCCCAGAAGGCCTGAAAATCAGTTGGCTGACGTGCGCATGCACCCCAGAACTGAGCTGGCGTGCCCAATAATATGGCTCCGCATGCCACCTGTATAGGGTATAGGGTCTCCTGCTTGAGCAGGAGGTCGGACTAGATGACCCAAACGTCCCTTCCAACTATTCTATTCCTATTCTTATTCCTATTCTCATGGCTGCAAATTTCCACCAATGTTCAGTATTAATAGTTTTCTACCCTTAAAGCACAAGAGCCCCACCATGAGGAATGATATGGATAGGACAAAAGGCATAAAGAGTCAGAGGGTGAAAGATAACTGTGGTCAGTTCCTCTCCTATTAAGAAATGCGTAGTTGAGAGTATTAAAGTAGAGTCTTTCTGTCTCCCAGATAATAAGTGTGGCCAACATTCTCTTCACAACTCTATAAGGCATAGGGGATTCCTTCTCTTTGGCACCAATTACTATATCACTGATGGCATCTTATTTGCAACTGATGCACTGCTTCACATGATATGGTAGTATGGTGAAAGAAAACATTCAGCTTGAAAAGACTGTAGTGTTGGCTGGCAGTCCTTCTGTTTGCTTTACTGCTTCTTTTTGCTGAAACACATATTCTTATCTTGAAAATATTGCATAACTTTTTGAAAATGGATTGTTCCCAGCCATTTGGAAATCCCTCCATTACAAAATTAATTGAGTTTCAGGATCTTGAGGTTTTCCTGCACTTAAACCTGTACATTTAAAATATCACTTGGATCAGCTATAGTCCTCATGAAATGGAAATCCTCTCACTTAACTTTTAACTGATAATGAGTTGGCATTTCAACTTTCAGTTAGAGTTCAATCAGCTTGTCAATCAGAAATAGTAGCTGACTTTGTATAAAATATACAAAAGAATGAAGGCTATTGCTTAACGCATTGTAAGCCGCCCTGAGTCTCCGGAGAAGGGCGGCATATAAATCAAATTTAAAAAAAAAATAGTAGCTAGAAAGTTGTACTAATTGTTAGAAATATATGGCTATTTTTCTGTATTGAAATTAAAAGGAATTCTGCTGATAACAAAATTATAGGTACAGTTTGAGGTAGAATAACATCTCTTTTCCATTCTTTAAAGAGATTTTGCTTTCTAAATGCAAAGTGCAATATATACAACCTTGGTTTACAGATGTGGCAACTTTAATATGTGTGGATCGAGAGTCCATACATCTTAAAGCCAAGTTTGGAAAAAAATAGTTTAGAGAAACAGTTGATAGTACAAATTTTTCCCAGTAAGAGCTCCCGTTGTGACAAAACAACATATAGGGAAGAAACAGGGTTGATTATAAGCTGCAGGAAAAGAGAGCAAATATTGTAATAATCCTAACATTTCAATGTAAAGTGTAAGTGTTTTTTACACATGGGAAAAGAAGCAATTAGCAGAATATTGTCATACATATATTGACGTATATGAAAGTATAGGGGAAAATCATAACAATTATACACAATATTAGCAGAACTCGAAGACTGAGATGGTGAATACAGTAAATCAAAGATGAAAAGTAAGCATGAACAGATGAATTAATAAATTTAAAAATAAAACAATACCTTTATTATGACAATTTCAGATGTCTTAAAAAGTATGCAAGCTTTCAAGTTCTCCAGTACTTTTCTTCATGCAAGACTGTAAATACAGCAATTGGTTAGTAGATAAAGTGAAGAAAAAAAATGATGATAAACATAAATCTACACTTATGGTATGGTGGCATATTTTTATGGTATTCTGGTTAAAATTTTAAGGAGTGGCTTATCCACAGCTGGGCTCATCCACAAATACATACAAATAGTCTTAAAATAAATCTTTTTTTTTTTTTTACAGAAGGAACAAGATAGGAATGAAGTGAAATTTCAGAAATAAGGATGCTGCCAGAGATTTTGTTGTATGTTGTATGTAGTGTCAAATTATTTTCTTAATTAAAATATTTGTTAAGATAAAAAAGAAATATGAGAAAATAGTACTGTGTGTAGCAATTGTGGCAAGATTATTGTACACACAAAGTTGGGAAAATAATAAATTGCCCAGACTAGAAGATTGAATTATAAAATGAAGTTTGCAGAAAGGCAAACTGACCAACTTGATCAGGGAAAATACAATAGAGACTTTTAAAGGATTGGAAACTTTATATAGAAGTTTTGCTGAAAGAAAAAAAGACTGAACTGATGATTTATGGATTTGGGGATTAAAAAGGGCTGAAGAGGAAATGGCAAGAGTAAGAGGCAATTACTTAATAGAAAGGTGGAAGTCATAAATCTATGCTTTCTTCTTTCTTTTCTTTTTTCCATTATTTTTTCTTTAATTTTTATATTTTTATTGTATTGAAAAATTATCATAAAAATATTATAAACCAGTTTAAAATATCAATTATTTATCCATCCATTAAAAAGTGTGGTAGAGATTATAAAACCTTCAAGGGAAAGAGTCATGATTCTTAAGTGGTTGCTTACCTTTGTCTTAGCTTGTATCTCCAACTATAAGCAAGCACTCCTAAGAATTAAGTCTGGTTTCAAAATTTATCCTTAAAAGGATATGTAGGTTAAAGTACCAGACTTCTCCTAGGAGGTGAAAAGTGAATGATTTGCAAAGAAGTAAAGAACCAGTTCACATATAGACACCTAGAGTTCCCACAGAATTTCTTTTGGGGTCTTCATTGGCTACTTCCTCTGGGTACAAATTTAAGCTACTGCGCCTATTGCAGCCTAATATATTCAGGCAAAGCCTTTATTAGTTTCATGTACAGAAATCTCTGGACAGCCAACATGGTGAGATAGTTTAATGAGTTGTAAAATGAGTGAGAAACCCTGGTTTTAGTCCCCATTTTGGCATGAAAACCAGTTAGGTGATTTTGGTCATGCTCTGTCCTCTTAGCTCTAATTAGTTTCAGGCTCTGTGACCTCCTGGCTGGAAAATCATCATAAGCTTCATTGTAAGAACTAGGTGAGTACAGTGGGAAAACAAGAAAAGCCTGCAACTAAGCAGAACATGGTATGAATATGTGCTGAAATTAATGATTGACAATCCATATAGTATCATCACAAAATATACAGTATATCACCATAAAGACATATAAGATTACTGTACTTTCTGTATTCAAAACTGTTGTAAAGGCAAATTATAGTTATTCTAGTCAATTGGCAAAATTAATTCTCCCTGTATTATGTAATTCTAAAAAGCAATAGAAAAGGATTTCAGTGACAAATCAATCCCTAGCTCATTCAGCAGCAAAATTTTATTTATTCTCATTATGCATATTTTTTTCTACTTTGGAATGTCTCTAGCAGAAGACTAACAGATTGTCACAATCTTACCTCATTTCAGAAGTCCCCTTCAAATTTTCTTCAATTTCACAGGCTTACATAAATTGCTTTGAAGGAATTGCTTTGAAATGCAGACAGCACAGTACTGCAATGGATATGTTGCAAGACTGTGTGAAAGGGTGGAACTGCTTTTTCTGAGAGGACAAAACAAACATTCTTTTGATTAGCATTGGATTACACAATAGAGTTTTGTAAACTTACATGATCCACATGTGGAAAGAAGCTGTTTAATCAGATTCAAAATGATCAGAGGAATCTCTGACATTTCAGCCAAGAAAAAAATGATAAGCATGGGCATTTCTTCAGTTTTTTTCCTGGTGAAAGGCATTAAACACCTATTTAGCTAGAGTTTAACACCCGAAAGTTTTGTTGCAGACAGTAGCAAAAACATTCCACACTTAAATATTATGATTAAGGACTTACCTGGACTGCTAGGTTGCCTCATCAACAGAATGGGCAACAGCTGTTTCTGGAGGCATAATAGAATAAAGTTCTTTATTGGCCAAGTGTGATTGGACACACAAGGAATTTGTCTTGGTGCATATGCTCTCAGTGTACATAAAAGAAAAGATACATTCGTCAAGAATCATAAGGTACAACACTTAATGATAATCATAGGGAAACAGTCAATATAAATCTTAAGGATACCAGCAACAAAGTTACAGTCATACAGTCATAAGTGGGAGGAGATGGGTGATAGGAATGATGAGAAGATTAATAGTAATGCAGACCTAGTAACTAGTTTGACAATGTTAAGGGAATTATTTGTTTAGCAGAGTGATGATGTTTGGGAAAAACTGTTCTTGTGTCTAGTTGTTCTGGTGTGCAGTGCTCTATAGCGTCATTTTGAGGGTAGGAGTTGAAACAATTTGTGTCCAGGATGTGAGGGGTCTGTAAATATTTTCACAGCCCTCTTTTTGACTTGTGCAATATACAGTCCTCAATGGAAGGCAGGTTGGTAGTAATTGTTTTTTCTGCAGTTCTAATTATCCTCTGAAGTCTGTGTCTGTCTTGTTGGGTTGCAGAACCAAACCAGACAGTTATAGAGGTGCAGATGACAGACTCAATAATTCCTCTGTAGAACTGGATCAGTAGCTCCTTGAGCAGTTTGAGCTTTCTGAGTTGGCACAGAAAGAACATTCTTTGTTGTGCTTTTTTGATGACGATTTTGATGTTAGGTGTCCATTTTAGATCTTGTGATATGGTTGAACCTAGAAATTTGAAGGTCTCTACTGTTGATACTGTGTTGTCTAGTATTGTAAGAAGTGGTAGTATGGGAGGGTTTCTCCTAAAGTCCACCACCATTTCTACAGTTTTGAGTGTGTTCAGTTCCAGATTGTTCTGGTTGCACCACGAGGCTAGTTGTTCAACTGTTGTGTCATCTTCAAACTTCAGTAGTTTAACAGATGGATCGTTAGAGATGCAGTCATTGATATATAGAGAGAAGAGAAGTGGAGGGAGCACATAGCTCTGGGGGGGGGGCTCCTATGCTAATTGTACAGGTATCTGATGTGATTTTGCCTAGCTTCACCTGCTGCTTCCTGTCTGTTAGGAAGCTGTGATCCACTTACAAGTGTGGTCAGGTACTGCTAGCTGGTTTAGCTTAGTTAGAAGAATGTCCGGTATGATAATATTGAATGCTGAACTAAAGTCTATAAAGAGGACTCTTGCGTAGGTCTTTGGAGATTCAAGATGTTGTAGGATGTAGTGCAGAGCCAAATTAACAGCATCATCTGTTGATCTATTTGCTCGGTATGCAAATTGCAGGGAGCCATGATGGTTTTGGGGGACATTACTAGCCTTTCAAAGGTTTTCATAACTACAGATGTTAGAGCAACTGGTCTGTAGTCATTCAGTTCCTTGATGGTGGGCTTCTTCAGCACTGGGATAATAGTAGAGCGTTTGAAGCAAGAAGGAACATAGCACATCTCTAGTGATTTATTGAAGGTACGGGTAAAGATGGGGGCCAATTGGTCAGCACAGACTTTTAAGCAAGGAGGAGTTATCTTGTCTGGGCCTGGAGCTTTTCCTGGCTTTTGTCTGTGAAATAGGTCTTGTACTTCCTTTTCTGTGATCACTAGGGGTTGTGAACCCAATGGGATGGGTCAGCTGTAGGAGGCTTGGCTGTTGTTGGTGTGTCTGAGATGGGGGTTGTGGAGATAGGTGGCTGTAGTTTTCTTTCAAACCTGCAGTACAACACGTTCAGGTCATCTGCCAGTTGTTCATTTCCTTCAACCTGGGAAGGAGGTTTGCCATAACCGGTGATATTTTTAAGAGTTTTCCACATGTTTGCTGGTTCATTTGTTGAGAATTGATTCTTTAGCTTTTCAGAGTAGCTTCTTTTTGCTACTCTGATCTCCTTTGTTAATACATTTCTGGCCTGATTGTACAGCATTTTATCACCTTTTCTGTAGGCTTCCTATTTGGAACGACGTAGCTGCTTAAATTTAGCTGTGAACCAAGGTTTGTTGTTACTGTATATTTGCAAGTTCCTGGTCGATACACATAGGTCTTCACAAAAGCTGACATATGATGTTACAGTATCTGTGAGTTCATCTAAGTCTGCAGAGGTATTTTCGAAAACATTCCAATCAGTGCAGTCAAGGCAGGCCTGTAGCTTTAACTTTGCCTCCTCAGTCCAGGTCTTCACTGATTTAATTGTTGGTTTTGTGGTTCTTCTTAGCAAGTGAACGTAAATTTGTCAGGAAGATTGAAGGCAGAGCAGTTCTATTTCCCCTATTCCTTAGCCTGTTCAAAATTCCCACCCTTTTACCTTGTCTCCATTTCCTCTGTTTGTTTTGTTTTTTTGTAATCCATAGCTCCGGGGAATTTGCTTCTTCCTGTGTTAGAATCTCCTCCGCATGATTGTAAAGATGGGGTGGGAGGTGGGGGGGGGTGAGATCACAGAAAGTTGCTCCTTAAAGAAACATTGCTTAATTCTTAGCAGATGGTTTCGTGAGTAAGAAATCTGTAGTGATGTTTTATGCCCTGGTTCTTCAATTTCTGTACAGGTTTACTTTTTCTTTACATATAAAATGTACAGTAAATTGCCAAATTGTGGTACTTCCAGCTGGGTGGGAAAATCTTATGTTTTATTGTCATAGGTTCATTTTTGGCAATAAAAGTGAAGATATGGAATTTAAACTGTCAGAAAGTTCATTTGGTCTAACTTTTGGGCTATACATCAAGTAATAATTGTGCAAAGGTGATTGATTTTTGAATTTTAATAGAGATTAAGTTACTGAGGAATGTATTTGCTTTTGCATTTTTTAAAATAAAGTAAGGATGTCAATACAGCAATCTAAAGCTAGAATTAGGACAACCTTTCCAATCAGGTTTTTACAAATGTCATTGGCCATATTAGTTAGGAATTTTGAAAGTTTCATACCTAACATATCTGAGATGTTAGGCTGGCTCTCAAACCACTGATAAGGGGGTAAGGGCCCCTTAAGAAAAGTTGGATGAGAATTGGTAACCTGAATCTATACATTTTGTTATCCTTCAAATGGATCAGGTGACTGTAAATAAACTTTCAGGTGTTTGGAGGCATTTATATCGGCATACTGATGAGTGCAGGAAGGATTAAGTGCTACTTTCTACTTGGCAGTTCTTTTCAATAAATACCAAGTTTTGCATTCATAGGAGCTTGGAAGATTTTAACAATGTGATGGTAAGAATTACTTAATGGAACTGTGCTTTAAGATCACTCGTCACTTCTCAAATAAAAACAAAATACAGTAGAACTCTTGATGCATAGCTCACTTTTCTAGGCTATTTAGAATACAACTAAACAGTTCACCGGAGTATTTTTATATTGCAGAAACTTGTTCCCATGAGGAGTAACTACAGCATAATCAGTTGTACTGTAACTTTCTGCAGTTAAAACAGTTTAACACTTCAGTACTTTAAAAAAAAAATGACTTTGTCTTGTCTCCTGACAAGTCCCTGGACAAGTTCATGACCATATTTTCAAAGTGGTTCCTCATTGCCTTCTTCCTATGGTTATGTAAGGGTAATAGATCTAAGGTTACCCATCTGGTTTTGCGCCTAAGGCAGGACTAGAACTCACAGTCTCCCAGCTTCTGGTCTAATGCCTTTAACCACTATGTGGCAGGGATGCTATTCAGCAGGTTCTGACAGATTCTGGAGAACTGGTAGCGAAAATTTTGAGTAGTTCAAAGAACCGGCAAATACCACCTCTGGCTGGCCCCAGAGTGGGGTGGGAATGGAGATTTTGCAGTATCCTTCTCCTGGAGTGGGGTGGGAATGGAGATTTTGCAGTATCCTTCCCCTGCCATGTCCACCAAGCCACACCACACTCACCAAGCCACACCCACAGAACCAGTAGTAAAAAAATTGAATTCCACTACTGGTATGTGGCTATTGTCTGTATGATTAAGGTATTTACAATCTGCATCTGCCCATATGCTACTCACAAAAAATAGCCTATCCCATAATTAAAATGTAGCTTGAGCTGGCGGAACTGTTCTGATTATTTTCTATTCCTTTTAACAGAAACGTACAAAATAGTTTGAATGTGAGGTCCTTAGAGCTCAAAACAGCTGCTTTGGGTGTCCTCTGCAAATACAATGTTTAGAAGAAAGTACGTAGTTTTGCTTCATATTTGGGACAAAATATGACCTTTTTGAGTGGTACTGTTTAAGCATTCTCTGTTGTTCTGGAAAATTCATTTGACCTTTGAATAAAAGCAAAAACATCCTTGGTTGGCCTGTATATCAGCTGTTACTGGTTGAGGTTGAATGGGATGACCTGGAAGGAAGCGTGGAATGCTGGCACAGGAAGCAGAACCAAGCACATTGTATCTCAAGGAGCCATTCTAGCTCTGTCTCTGCCATTTGTAAGAATCCTACGATTAGATTGCTGTGGTGGAATTAGTGATATATCTACTTGACCACCTCTAGACAACTCCACAGTACCAGCCCAATTTTGTTCAAGTATGCTACATTTGTATTTTAGTATTAAAGGAGTGTGGTGTAATAGATTACTGATAAGTGGGAAGGGAAAAGGCTGTATGTTGGCATAAATCTCTGTCTTGTTAATATTAACTTAAGGATGTATTAAGAAACCTAAATTATTATCCCTGTTAGTTTGG